CACTTAATTTGTATTTCTATAACTTTTTTGTTAATACATATATTTATGGAATATTTACTTAAATACCACTAAATTCCTTTGTGTTTACATATCTAACACCTAAACTTCAATTTTTTACGTATATGCCACTTTACCTATGAATGAAATAGTGTATTTCACATTTTAGAAGTTAATATGGTGGTACTTTTGATGTGATATGAAAGATTTGAATGGTAGAAGTGTAAAAAGTAAAGTTTAGATGTTATTTATGCAAATATATAGGAATAGGGTGGCATGCAAATTTTCACCATTCTTGTAACTGATTGGAGTGAAAATTTGTTTTCGTTTGGTTTGTGTTGAAGAGAATAGTGCTTGTTCGTAGGCTCATTAAAAAAAAAATATTATTTGAAATAGGCTCTTATTCGAAATGACCCGTGAATAGATTCAAATTTGTTTTCGTTTCAGCTCATGTTCGGCTCGAAATTATCTCGAATGTTTTGAAAATAATAAAATTTGATACTTTTAAAATACAAAAAAAAAAATTAATATAAAAATATTATTTATCTATTTATTCAACTAATTGGATTCAAAATGAGTCGAACACAATCTAATAAAAGTTTATTCATGTAGGGCTCGTTAACTAGTAAACAGGAGCAGTTCGTGCATGACATGCTTTTTGATAGCCCTAAAAAGTACCGGACTTGATTTGCCATTTGTCATTCAAAGAACTAATGACTCGGGACCGGGACCGGGACCGGGATCGCCCGAGAGAAAGGGTTGTTTGTCGAGGCTTCGAGTTGGATGGATGATTCGGACTCCGATGATAATTCTTGTTGTAGTTTTGGTAATTTTTGGTTTACTTGCAATGAGTAATATAAAATACACGTTATATAGCTATAAGTAAATCCTGTCAAAAACTTGCTTTCCAACACAGATTAAAAGGGAAATCAAATATAATAAAATAAGAGTCACTATTTTAAGACAATTATGTAAAATAAGTTTTTCTACAAATTTATCAATAAAAATAAATAATTTAAAAAGATAGCATTTTTATTTTTAGTTTTAAGTATCTATCTGTAAATAAAGATAATAAAAGCGATTTATGGCTCAATGGGCAAAAATCTTTTATGTTTGTTGGGAAGGTTATGGGGAGCTAGAGGCTTGATGAGGAAAGCTGGAGGAATGCGAAACAACTTGAAGCTTTGAGAAGAAGCTAAAGTCCAGCACCACTTCTGTCACCAATAACAACCGCCGACCGCTGTCGACAGCCGCATACCACCATTGACCACCACCTATCGGTCGCCCCTTCTTTCTTACAACAAGTTCTTCAGCACACCGACATTGTAAATCAAAGAACATTGTAGCCTTTTTTCAGCATATGAGACAAGGGATCTCTGTAATCATCAACTTATGGTGGATTTTTTCAGCTGGGCCAGACACCGTTGTTTTCCTTTTCTGGGTTTTTCACATAAAAATTTCGGGGGTCTCTACTGGTTGTCTTCTCTTTTCTGATTGTGTATTGAATTCTTGTGAAATGTTAAGATAATAATTTATTACTCTACTGCCGACACACTCAGTTTGGTGTTGTCTATGGGAAAAGAGTATTCTCATTACTAAAGTACTTGTGAAACTTGTTGCATGGCCACTGGGCACAGCAATCACAACAATGGAGCATCCTGCTCCAACACCAATCATTCCAAAAGGTGGTCACGGAGCCAAGAGCGTCAGGCCTCTGCATCCTCCTACACTATAAGGCATTACTCCGCTGATGAAGCTGTTTCAGGTCATTCTCTTGAGAACGATACGTGGGATGGAAGAGTCACAATACGAGATCCTTAATTTCCTATGCGGTGAGCGACACTCGCACCCCAATGGAGCTTATTTAGCACTAGTTCAACATTGAACATAAAATACCTCACTCTCCAGGTTTCTTCTAATGATGAAACCATTCTACTACTGAGACGAGACACCAATCTTTTGGACATTACATGGTTCACTCATCCGTCTCATGTAGCTCATATGATATCGCATTGCCATGATACCTGCATCCGTCTCATGTAGCTCATATGATATCGCATTGCCTTACTGTCTCTCCTGCTGATGTAATCCATGATGAGCCATGATACCTGGTACGGGAAGAGTCCACTTTGGAGAATAGTAATCATTTTCCAGCTCGCCGCAACTTCCCAGAATCCTCTCCTTTGGCGAAAGTAGTTCTTCGACACCCTATCCCAGCGGGCTTCAAACTCACAAACATCAATGCCTATGAAAGAGTAACTGACCCCATACAAGAACGTCGACCACATCAAACTATCATGCACATTCACCGTGGCTTTAATTCACTTCTCTGTCAAGTGTTCCCAGCGACCCTGAAGGGCCAAACTTGTACATGGTTCTACTCCCTCCCGGATGGCATCATCAACACCTTCAATGAGCTTGTCTGACTATTTGTAGAACAGTTCATAGAAGATAGAATGATCATCAAAGATTCATCTCACTTATCAGGAGTTTGTCAACATGAGGGGGAATCCATCAACGAATAGTTTTGCGGGTTCTCCACTGAAGCTTGCCAGATTCTGAAAGTAGATCCAGAGTTATTGAGAGGAGTCTCTCTTAAAGTGCTTTGCCTAGGACATTTCTACTCATCACTGATGTGGGAGATGGTTCGCTCTTATGTCAATCTTGTTCATCGCGTTGAAGCTCAAATCTTTGTAGATGAGGTCATCAATGCATACAAGGAACAATTCAAGCGATTGGGGGACAAGCATTAGAATAACCCAGAGGGTATCAATCAAATTTCACAACGAAAAAAGTTTGGACCGCAGAGAAATCGTGAGCCTCGATTAGAAAAATAATACATGTCACTCAACATGTCACGTGTCAACATCCTAATAGCCATCAAGGATGAAAAAGTCATCAAGTGGCCAAGGCCGTTAAAAAATCCAGATGATGGATAACAGTCTCAATATTGTCATTTCCACTAAGCAAATGTGCATTCAACCAAAAATATTTTCAATTAAAAAAAGAAATTGAACGACTAATACGCCAAGGTCAGCTGGGTCGCTACTTATAAGAACAAGGTGATGAGAACCAGAAGAAAATCGTCAGTGTTATCGACTGAAAAGTACAACTTGGAAATTATTTGAATAAAAGACTGGCATATAAACTCCTAATTTTATTCTAACGAGAATTTTCATGTTACTATAAAAACTTGTCATTTAGTGAAAATTAAGAAGCAAGACTCAATTTTTTTTTTTTTTTTGAAGGAACGTTGAGCCCAAGAAGCAAGACTCAATGGGAAGCTACCATGCCCCTGGAAGTCAAGCGCAAGCCACATGACTCGATGGGAAGATCTGGTACCCCTAGAAGTTGAGCCCAAGAGGCAAAACTCAATGAGCAGTTACCATTGCCCTGAAAGACATGCCCAAGAGGCAAGTCTTGATGGGAAGCTAGTAGTAGACATAGTCCTTACTAGAAAGATTTCACGAGAGCAAGTGGTTGATAGGGTCTCCACTCAAAGATCTCAGAAGGCTATAAACCTCAAAAGGAAAAGATGTATCAATAACCTCAAAAGGCTATAAGCCTCCGAAGGTACAGGTACATCAATTAAATTATTTATGAATATTTTCAACTTAATGCCTACAACCGTGAGTATATATATATATATATATATATATATATATATATTATAATAATAATAATAATAATAATTTAATTGACTAAAGGGCAAACATGATTTATATTCAATTAAATTATTAATTAAAAAATAAAAAAGAATATTAAATTCTATTTAAATGAATATTTTGATAAAATAGTAATATTTAAATCTTGCCCATATTCTAAACATCCTACAGTTGTGTGAACGAGATTGTCAAAATGATTGTTGTTTGAGAACAACTCGTGTTCGGCTCGCTAAGCAAAAGTGCAAAATAAGAAAAAAAATTTTTTGCGCTCAACATATGAACGAGCTGAACACGAACAGTGATATTTTTTAACTAGTTGAACACAAATTGCTGTATTTTTTTAAGAGTTGAACACAAACAGGGTATTTTTTAACGGGTTGAACAAAAGCGGAGCCTGGGCTCGCTCAAGCTCGGGCCATTTACACCCTTACACCTATGTGGCTCGGCTTGTGAGTGTAGTAGTTTAATAATTTTTATTAGAGACTATGACAATAAGTATGAATAATTTATTTAATTGGATATTAAGATTTTTAACATCCAATTAAAAATTGTGAATGTTTTAGATATCTCGGGTCTGTTGTTAAAAGTGCTGGTGATATAGATAGATATGTTATTAGTAGAATTCAAATTGTTTAGTTGATGTGGAGGAATGATTCGTGCCTATTGTGTGATTAAAAAGTACCGCTTAGACTGAGAGGAAAATTATATAAAAAATGATCTTAAATTATTAGGATTTAATGAAAATATGACACTTGATTGGACGCAATGTAGAAAAAAGATTCATGTAGGCAAACTCAATTAGTGGGATAAAGGCTTGTTGTCATTGTTGTTGATATTAATAATTTTTATTAATATTTAGTTATTAGTTAAAATAGTGTTAATTAAGTTAAAATTAATTTTCATTAAAGTTATTCTTAATTATTATTGTTTAGTTTATAAAATAATAAAATAATATAAATTTAAATCACAAACTATAGTAAGTTGTTTGAATTAATGTTTTCTTAAGTTAAATAGTATTAGTAATCTGAAAACCTGCTCTTTAATTTATTACACAGCAGAAAACTCATCCAGCAACTAAAACGCCATCCCTTCCATTCTCCACCACACAACCATTATAGCAAGCCAATAATATATCAATGGTTCCACCACTCATTCATTATAGCAAGCGACGACTACGTCAATGAGAGTCGGGTCAATGAGAGTCGGGAAGCCACGGTGGAAATCACTACGTATAAAGATACTTTACGCATCCTTCATAGCAAAGCCACCGACTTTCGTCCTCTGTACCCTCTTCTTCTCTTCCTCTCTTCCACCGTCTCTCCCCCTCATAACCCCCCTCATAACCTAACCTTGATCTGTGCCATGGCAGACTGGTTTGTTGGCCGAGTCATAGATAGGCTCATCAACGCTTGCTCTGATTACCTGCAAGATCAGTACTTCGGATGGCCGACAGCCATGAAGGAGGAGCTCGAAAGGCTGCGAGAGAACAACCCCAAGATCCAAGCTGTCGTCTCTGCTTACAACCGAGCACAGATCAGAGATCGGAACCCAGCACTCAACAGCTGGTTATGGCAGCTACGAGATGCCATCGATGAGGCAGATGATGTTCTTGATGACTTTGAGTACATGAGGCTTGAAGAACAAGAACGGGTGCTGAACATGGAGGAAACAAAGGCGCCTTCTTCATTCACTAGATTATTTTTGGAACCTGCTCGCAAACTTCGCAGAGTCTGCGAACAAGCCCTCAAAAAGGATCCCAACTTGGAGAGACTGGAGGCAGTTGTGAAGAAACTTGATACAGTTTCAGCTCAGGTCAGTACTTTTCTTGATCTCGTTGAAAACAAAAAGCAGGAGCAGCAGGAGCAGCAGGGGCAGCAGGAGCTGGAGCTTCAGTTGCGCAAAGATCGTGAAACAGGATGCTTGCCCAAAAATGTTCTCATCGGTCGAGGCGAGGAGAAGGATTTTGTTATTCAGTGGTTGAGGAGGCCAACAAATGAAGATCCAACTCATATTGCTAGCCCTACTCTGTACAAAAACATTTCTCTTCTATCCATAGTGGGTCATGGAGGCGTGGGCAAGACAACTCTCTTGCAACACATCTTTGAAGATCTGAAAGAAGAATTTGAACTGAAAATATGGGTTTGTGTCTCCAACGACTTTGATGCAAAAAAGATCATTGAGGATATGTTGGAATTTCTTAACGAGGAGAGCCCTCGTTTGGAGTCACCACTCGCTGCTGTTCAAAAGAGACTTAAAGCTGTGGTGCAATCCAAAAGGTTTTTGCTTGTTCTGGATGACGTTTGGGAGGAAGATATAAGCAAATGGGAGATTGTACTCTGCCCTCTAGTTTACGGAGGTTTGGGAAGTAAAATTTTGTTGACTACACGGATGGATTCTGCTGCAGTGATGATTTCGAATGCGATTAGAAAGAAGAATGAAAAGAAACATTGAAAATAAAGGGCTTGGAGGAAGATGTGTGTTTGAAGCTACTCAACACCCATGCATTTGTTGGTGCAGGGAACCTTGATGCTCATAAAAAACTAACACATATTGCTAGTTTGATAGTTAAAAAGCTTTTAGGATCTCCTTTGGCAGCGAAGATCATTATGATGTTTGAATATAAATAATTAGATTTGATTCTCATTCCAAACCTTAATAACTTACGACTGTATGATTAAGGTTGTCAAAATGATTCTTTATTTATATTCGACTTATTAAGCAAGCGAGCTAAATGCAAAAATATTTTTTTTTTGAAATATAAACGAACTGAACAATAATTTTTTTTAAAGAATCAAACAAGAGCTAAAGTTCATTTACGGCCCTTCCAAAAAGCTGACGCAGCAAGCTGTATTTTACGAAGAAGCAATCTGACTTTTAAAAATAAAATAAATGCAGCTTCTTTTGATTGTTGTTTATTTAAACAGCTGTAACTCTGCTCTAAACAAAGACTAAATTTTAATTGAGAAATTAATTTTTTATTACATAAATGGCTCTATACCTCTTGACAGCTGTCGTGCAATCCAAAAGATTCTTGCTTGTTCTAGATGATATTTGGGAGGAAGATATGAGCAAATGGGAGAATGTGCTCTCCCCTCTGACTAATGGAAGTTTCGGAAGTAAGATTTTGATAACTACTCGAATGGCTGCAGTTGCATCGACGATTGCAAATGTTTTTAAAAAGAAGAGGGAAACATTGAGAAAGGGCTTGGAGGAAGATGTGTGTTTGAAGCTACTCAACACCCATGCATTTGCTGGTGTAGAGAACCTTGGTGCTTATACAAAATTATCAAACATTGCTAGTTCGATAGTTAAAAAGCTTTCAGGATCTCGACTAGCAGCAAAGATCGTCGGTGGTATTCTCAATTCTAACTTGAAAGAGAGCTTCTGGATGAACATTTTAAATAGTTCTGATGTTCTAAACGTAGAACCAGAACCGGGTCGTAATAACATTTTGTCTATCTTAAGATTGAGCTGAGTTTTATGTTGCTCCGACAACCTCTACAAAATTGTTTTGCATTTTGTGGCATATTCCCGCAAGATCATGAGTTTGATAAAGATGATTTAGTCCGAATGTGGATTGCATTGGGTTTCATTCAAGAATCTTCTATTGAAGGAGAGACTTTGGAAGATATTGGAGGGAGGTATTTTGATGTTTTGGTCAAAAAATCTTTCTTTGACGAGTTTCAGTATCACGAAAAAATCTATTATAAGATGCATGATTTATTACATGATTTGGCAGAGTCTATTTCTTCAGAGGAATGTTTCAGATTTGTGGGAGATGATGTTTTATCTCTTAAAACTCCTAAAATTATTCGACACTTATTTATTAAAACTGAAAATCTCGAAGTGCTAAGAATGATCAAAAATGTTAAAAGCTTACGTTCACTTTTTCTTACAAGTGAAAGACGTGGCCAATATTTCACTGAAATACTTGCTGAAGTTTTTGAAGCTTCGAGCAGGATTCGTTTGTTGTTCATACACTCTACACATCAGAAAAAAATGCCTGAGGCTATTAAAAATTTGAGACATCTTCGATATTTGAAGCTTACTGTTAATCTCACTCAAATGCCAAGTATGCTAATCTCACTCAAATGCCAAGATCTCTAAGCAGTCTTTATCATTTGCGGTTCATAATCTATAAAAAGGGGCTTTCGGGAGCTCGCTTAGATGATTTCTTGCTTGGCGATTTGAGTTATCTTTCTAATCTACGTCACTTGGAATTGCCCGGCGATGTGAGTATACCTGGAATTGGGAAATTAAGGTCACTTCAAGAACTAAATGAGTTTAATGTGAAGAATGAGAATGGTTATCGGATTGGGGAGTTGGAACATATGAATGATTTGCGCAAATTAAAAGTACATTTTCTGGAAAATGTGAAAGATGCTGTAGAGGCTCGCAATGCAAAATTATTTGATAAGAGAAAACTCACACATTTACTCTTGAATTGGGGCAAAACTGTTGTTGAACGGAACTCAGACATGAAGCATTATACTGTTGATGAAAGGAAATCAGACAGGGAAGTTGGAAGCCTACGGAACATTGTCAATTCTGACTTAGATGTGATTGTGCTTGAAAATCTTAAACCATACAAAAATCTAAAAAGATTGTCCATAGTGTCATATGAGGGTGCAAGCTCTGCAAAATGGATGTACAATGCTGAATTGATCTCCAATCTAGAGTACATCCGTCTGGACGAGTGTTCCGAGTGGGAAACTCTTCCACCTTTTGGGAAGCTTCCCCACCTTAAGTCACTGTACCTTGGTAACATGCCAAAAGCAAAGCGGCTTGATTATAATTTCCATGTGAATGACAACGTTTCTGTCTTTCCATCGTTGCAGGTGCTAAATATGGAGGGATTACAGGGATTACAAGTATTGGAGCAAGTATTGGAGGATTGGTTTGATGGAGCAGCAGCAGCAGCATATGACTGTTTCTTTCCTTGCTTAACTGAACTCTTCTTCGTTAACTGCCCAAATCTGCAGGAGTTGCCCTGTGTGCCTCCTAAGCTCAAGAAGATGAAGATAAAAAACATCGGATGGAAGGCTGCTTTGAACTGCAAGCAAGGCTCTAACAACTGTTGCGGCATTTCAAAATCGATTCCCCTTGAAACATTACAGGTCCTTTCGTGTTCAAACATCACATCTCTTCTTCAGGCGGATGTAAGACTTGAAGCACTGAGAAAATTGAGTATTGAAGATTGCCCCAATCTGATTTCTCTCCGCGGAGACCCATCCTTGTTGCCAACAGTAAGTATCGCCTCCTTGGAAGAGCTCACAATTTTTAATAATGATGTGCAGTGGTTTCCACACGTTTGCTCTTCCCTTCGTGAGTTGAGCTTTAGAGGCCTCAAATCCCTGCAGTAAATCCCTGCACTGCAGTCTCTCCCTTCCTCCTTGGAACGCCTCTCTTCACTTAAGATTCTACGTGTCGAAAGTGTTCCTCAGCTTCAGCAGCTTCCACACATCCCCGTCTCCCTGGAAGAAATACATCTTAGCAACCTCGAATCATTGCAGTGCCTGCCAACGTCTTTGTCTGCCATCTCATCCTTTAAACGTCTAGAATTAAAAAACATTCCATTACTCAAATCATTGCCAGACCTCCCTTCCTCCTTGGAATTTCTGACTGTAGAAAGTCTTGATAACCTAGAGTGCCTGCCATCTTCTTTGTCGGCCATCTCATCCCTCAACCGTCTATCGTTCTATAGCATTCCACTCCTCAAATCATTGCCAGAACTCCCTCCTTCCTTGAATTCACTGTCTCTATATGAGCTTGATAGCCTACAGTGCCTGCCATCTTCTTTGTTGGCCATCTCATCCCTCGAGCAGCTAGAATTATATAACATTCCACTCCTCAAATCATTGCCACACCTCCCTTTCTCTTTGGATTCGCTGCATCTAAGTAATCTTGATAACATAGAGTGCTTGCCATCTTCATTGTCGACCATCTCATCCCTCGATAGTCTAGAATTAATGGAATTTAATAGCATTCCACTCCTGAAATCATTGCCAGAACTCCCTCCCTCCTTGAATTCATTGTCTCTAAGTGGTCTTGATAACCTACAGTGTCTTCCATCTTCTTTGTCGGCCATCTCATCCCTCAACAGTCTAGATTTATATAGAATTCCAGTCCCCAAATCATTGCCAGACCTCCCTCCCTCCTTGTATTCACTGGCTCTATATAGTCTTGATAACATAGAGTGCCTGCCATCGTCTTTGTCGGCCATCTCATCCCTCAGCCGTCTATATTTAAATAGCATTCCGCGCCTGAAATCATTGCCAGACCTCCCCTCCTCCTTGGAGTCACTGCGTCTATATAAGCTTCATAACCTAGAGTGCCTGCCATCTTCTTTGTCCGCCATCTCATCCCTCTACCGACTAGAAATAGAAAGCATTCCACTCCTCAAATCATTGCCAGAGCTCCCTTCCTCCTTGGAGTCACTGACTCTAGCTAGACTTGATAACCTACAGTGCCTGCCAGCTTCTTTGTCGGCTGTCTCATCCCTCTGGTATCTAGAATTATATAAAATTCCACTCCTCAAATCATTGCCAGACCTCCCTTCCTCCTTGTATTCACTGGCTATATCAAATTGTCATCCAAAGTTGATGAAGCGTTATAAAAAACTTTCAGGCTCTGATTGGCACAAGATCGCACACATTCCCAAGGTCCGTATTGATTATATGTAATAGTTGTTGTGTGTGTGATTGGTGTCACTCCAAATCAATCTCTTCCCATCAATATGTGAATATGTGATTTTCATGAGCAACTATTTGGTCTTAGAAATTTCAAATTTTGTAGTTCAATACCATAAGTGTGATTTGAATTTGTTCATCTTGTCATCTTCTCAAAATTTCACCGAAGAGTTAAACAATTACGAATTAACCCATGATTATAGGTTAGATTTTCTAATTATTGCCAATTTGTTAGTACTTTTGTTTCTTGAAACAATTAGATTATAAAATGATTGTTTTGCCGTTAATTTTTAATTTAAATTGTAGTTAAACCATGATTAGTGATTTTGTATAGATAAAGGAGTCTTACAGTTAAAATATTGATGGTGTGACCCGAATTTTATTGTGTTTTGACTGAATGTCTTTTCATATGACACATCTAGTGTAACTAAAAATTTGTTTCAGTTATACATTTGATGCAATGTGGCATTCAGTAAAGTTGGGCAAAATCAAGAGCTTTAAAACTCATAAGATGTGAGAAATACATTCGTAATTCTATACATATTACTTGTTAGGAGTACATCGCAAATAGCTCCTAAATTTATTGGACTTTGGATCAATTAGAAACTAAACAACAGTGCGGAATAACAGGATCGTACCAATTTGAGAAAATCGGAACAAAAATTGAACACAAAGCACAATCAAAACAACCAAGATAACACAAAAAGATTTTACGTGGAAAAATCCGAGAATAGAAAAAATTCATGAAACCACGCCATCAAAAATTTCGCTATGAATTTCATAAAGTTTTTTACGGAGAGCTCATAGTTTTCTCTATAAAGAAAACTTGCAGAACTCGTTGAACACTCTTCCTTCCGATCCGATGTGAGAAGCGCCCGTCAAAATCGCAAAAGTCCTCTCCGACATTTCTCACATTCACTCTAATTTCTATAAAAAAACACTCAACTTGTAGGAACTTCACACGCTGGAAGAAGTACATTCGCCGAGAGGAGGACTAATTCCATACTCAATATCAAATTCTTTCAAGTATCATAAATATGCCACCTTGCCAACTCATATTGGCATTACTTTTGGAAAAAAAAAAATGAATACTTGGTTGATAATACTTGGTATTACTTGATATTTTATGGTTTTATGTGATACATATGTAAATGAATAAGAATCAAGAGACAATAATAGCACAAGTAATAAAAGAAATAAAATAAAATCATTAGTTCTATATCCTTTGATACACTAATTGAGAAATTATATACCATAAAAGGAAAATATCTCACCTTATTTATTTATTTATTTTGCATATTTACTTTCAAGCCGTATGAATGGAATGAGTGGCACATTGGAAGTTAATGAACACTGAAAAGGAAAAAGTGCATAGATGCCACTAACTTCTTATGTATTTACATACACATATCTAATTTCACCATTTTATAGTTAAAATGTTAAAATGATGATTTTTTGTTTTGGTTGGTATGAATGCGAAAAAAAGTAAAAAGTAGGTATTTGATATGTAAATTTATAGGAATTTCGTGGTGTATGTGTGCGAATGCACCGATCGAAAAAGACGAAAACTTGTAGGATCAGGGTTTGGTGCTTTTGGGATTGACAGTTAAAGATAATATTTTGATGGGAATGAAAAGATTTGGCAAAAGTTTATATGAGAAATTTGCGTGCGATGGACGTACGCAGCGCTGCGTGCGATATCGGGGTATACCGAGGGTACAAGGGGGTTACATCCACGGTATAAGCCCTTGTAACCTCCCTGTAACCTCTCTGTTACTTACGTGTAACATCTTAATATATGATAACAGAAGTGCGAAATTTATTTTAGGGTAAATCTTATTTTAGGGTAAATATAGGTTACAGAAAGTTACAGGGAGGTTACAAGGGGTTATACCGCAGATGTAACCCCATTGTACCCTCGGTATAACCTCAATATCGCACGAAAAATCCGAGAATAGAAAAAATTCATGAAACCACGTCACCAAAAATTTCACTATGAATTTCATAAAGTTCTTACAGAGAACTCGCAGTTTTCTCTCTGCACATAAGGAAACTTGCAGAACTCGCTGAACACTCTTCCTTCCAATCTGATGCGGGAAGCGCCCGTCAAAATCGCAGAAGTCCTCCTCCCCGACACTTCTCACCTTCACCGGAATTTCTATCAAAGAACACTCAACTTGTAGGAACTTCACACACTGAAAGAAGTACATTCGCCGAGAGGAGGACTAATTCCATACTTAATATCAAATTCTTTCAAGTATTACAAATATGCCACCTTGCCAACTCATATTGGCATTACTTTTGGAAAAAAAAAAATGAATACTTGGTTGATAATACTTGGTATTACTTGATATTTTATGGTTTTATGTGATACATATGTAAATGAATAAGAATCAAGAGACAATAATAGCACAAGTAATAAAAGAAATAAAATAAAATCATTAGTTCTATATCCTTTGATACACTAATTGAGAAATTATATACCATAAAAGTAAAACAAGAGTTTTATAAGCTTTGTAAATACACGAGTTTTGGGCGTTATATATATATATAACTTCGACTATGTTGGATGTTACCAGGTCAAAGGAGTAAGCATCGAGAGGCTGTGTGGGATAAATCGAGCCAAACCGAAGGAGGAGGCTGCGTCAAGTGCGAGCAAGGGAGGAAGAAGTTCTCGAGCCCTAGCATTCGAGGAGGAAGAACTTAAGCCTTAGCAGAGGAAGATCAGGCTCGTGTGTGCGGGAAGGAGCCAGACCTCACGTGCAGAGGAAGAGGAGGAAGAAGAGGTCACCTATGCATGTTAGGGCTTTTGATCGAGATATTAAAGGTGAATTTTATTTTTTCTTAATTTACTAAATTATATATATATATATATATAAGTTTATTATTTAAGTGTTAATAGTAGGTGTGTTTGAAATCAGGAGGTATTAAGAGTAAGGGGGAAAGAGAAACCTTGTGTTTTTTCTTAATTATTTTTCATTAGATAGATTCCAAGTTTTCATGAGTAGAATTAATGGTAATATTTGGAAGAATTTTTTTTTAAAAGGTATTTAAAAAAAAAAAAAACTATTTAAATAAATTATTTATATTTAATTCTTTTCTTTTAGGATGAGATTCTTATAATTATATGCACCTTTAATTGATATAAGTGCTAGTCAAGGTAGTGAATTAATAAGCTATTACCAAGGTCTTTTAAGACAAATGAGAGTAATTATTTTATTTTATGTATTAAATTAAGGTATTATTAAATAAAGAACTGCATTATTGTTTCATATCTTCTTTTATAATCAAAAACCTTTTGTAAATTAAAGAATTACTAAAATGTATGAAGTGAAAATGAAAAATAGAAAATAGTGGTTTCAATGACCTTAAATAGAAGTAGTTAAAAGAAATGAAATGTTAATATTTAAGTTAATCGGGATTACCCCATATGGTAGTAACAAGGAATGCAACATACCCCTGCGTGAAAAAAGATTTGAAAATGATTAATGCGTTCATTTGCTTACAAATTTTTTAGGTTACCTACAAGTACAACATTGAGGATACTTTTCGGTATGAGGATAATCCTGTTATATTTTCTTAATGAGGTTCAAAGGTTAAATACTTAAATTGAAACGAGAATGATAAATTTAAAATAAAAGCTTAATCAATTATATATATATATATATATATATTTGATGAGTAGTATTTTTAAAAAAAATTATTGACTACAAGGCTACAAAAATTTATAATCAATTAAAAGTATTAATAAAGAAAAAATAATAAAAATTATTAAATTAGATTCAAATGATATTTTAAATCTTGCCCCAATCCTTAACATCTTATGACTATGTGATTAGGGTTGTCAAAACAATTTTTTGTTCGTGAACGCCTCGTGTTCGGCTCGCTAAGCAAACAAGCCGAACACGAACACAATTTTTGAGCTCGAAATATAAACGAGCCGAACATAAGCTAAGCCTGGGCTCGCTTGTGTTCGTCTCGTTTACACCTCTAGCATGCACTATACACGCAATATTAACTTCATGAAAGCTTAAAATAACCTCTAATTAATGCTACTTCACTTCTTTTTTATGCTTATAAGTCATTATTACTTTTTTCGCACAAAAATTATGTGAAGTAGAAGCATGATAATATTTAATCCTATATGAGAATTATTAGCAATTAATTCTACTTCATACAAAATAAATTTTAAGAATCATTTTTATTCGATACATTTTTTTCCAAATTAATATTCCTGTCATAAATCATTTTTTCGGCTCGTTAAAAAATATTATTTTTCGTGTTCAGATCGTTTATATTTCGTACACAAACGATTTGTTTGTGTTCTGCTCGTTTAAAATCGCCACTATTCATGTTCAACTCGTTTATTTTTTTAACACAAAAAATCTGTTTGAGTTCGACTCAATTGTATAGCGAACCGAACACGAGTTGTTCGCTAACAAAGAGGCATTTTGATGACCCTAGCCACACATTCAGCCGTTAGGGGTGTAAACAAGGCGAGCTTGAGCGAGCCCCGGCTCTGCTTGTTAAAAAAGATCATTGTTCGTGTTCCGCTCGTTTATATACCGAGCTCAAAAAATGTGTTCGCATTTTGCTCTTTTGCTTATCAAGTCGAAAGTAAGTTGCTCACGAACAATGAGTCATTTTAACAACTCAAGTCACACAGTCGTAAAATATTAAGGGTAGAGTGAGATTTAAATTTTATTATTTATAATAAAATATACATTAAAATAGAGTTTAGTATATTATTATTCTATTTTTAATTAGTAACTTTAATTGATTATAAATCTCTGTAGCCTTGAAGTCAATTAAGTTATTTAGAAATAATACTCATTACATATATATATATATATA